TTTTTCATGATCAAATAATATTGCACACCGTAGGAAAATCATATAAAAATTCAACTCTTTAATACAAACATAGCTCAAGTCATGGAGGGGGCAGACGCACAGACAGCAGCAGACTTCATAATACCCACTCTAGCATTTGTCTCTTCCTCATTTTTTAGCATGTTCAATTTGAATTCCCTATTTAGCTCTTCAGATAAATGGATCAAGTGATGCTTTCTAATGACTGTGTTACATGCTCTGCTGTGTTCTAAATGTCTTCAATTCTTCTGAGGCTCCCTGGATATTCAAAATAAAATGGTTCATTTGCAGAGAGTTTGAGCATCACATTCTTAGAAAACTAACTAAAGCCACTGAGTGGAATGTAACCAAATGCAGTAACCTTCAAATTTTTAAGCATGCTTCTTCTGAAACAGAAGCTATAAGTATATACATTCCTTCAACGTTTTGGGGGAGAACATTTTATGAACACTGTCTACTCTTTTCTGTATTTTGTGAAATCTTGACACCCTGGCAAACTGAGGAGGTGCTGGTCGCAAAGTCCTTCCACTTCTTTATTATCGAAGTACATGTACTATCTCAATTTAAGGGATTCTTGCCTCTTCGGCTATCTCAATATCTCACTCACCTGTATCTGTGGCAATCCCATGTGGTCCTCGGGTGTATTTTCTCTTCCTAGGCACACAGGAAGGCTACATTTTCTAACCCTTTCTCTGACTGTATGAAAACCTCAGAGCTAGTCCTAGCCAATGAATTATTGGATTGTCAGGAAAGTCATGACACATTTTTGCATAGAAAAACAGAAAAATACATCATGACTTTCCCAATGACCTAATATAAGTGAAAATAATGATTATGTTTAAGCGGAAGTAAAAACAAACAAGCAAACAAACAAAAACAGGAAACTACACATTTCAAGTGACAAAGCTACAAAAAAAGTAAGCTCCTATGTGGACATGTAGAATAAATAAGAACTAGATCATGTTACATAAAGCTACTAAAATATGGGGGTTATTTGTTGGCACAACATAGCTTATTTATTCTGATTAATACATATGATGACAGCAGTCCCACGAGGTTCCAGATGTCAGTGTTCAATATTTCATATATGATAAATAAGCTCTAACAATCACTCTATTCAACTGTCTCCTTGTGCTGAGGCAACTCCAAGGGCCAAAGATGCCCTACATTTTCATCTAGTGCCTGCCAACACCTTGTTAAAAGGATGATTCGTAGTCCTCCTCAGCTGGAGAAAACCAGAGCCTACAAGGGTAAAACAGGAGTTAGAGATAAAAATTAATTTTTTTAAACCTTTTTGTGCATCAAAATCATCTGGGAAGTTTATTGTAAAGGAAGATATGCTCCATGTTAGACATCCCTCTTCTAGTTCATCTTGAATGGGGTCAGGAAACATGCACTTTAATATGAATCTAAAATGGTTCCAATGTGAATGCATTAGAGAATATACTTTGAGAAGACTTGAGCAAGACCTTAATTAAGGTTCTCTTCCCTTACAACCAGACTAGTAATAAACCCTATAAATGCATTAAAAAGTTATAACATTTGAAAATTAAGTTGTATAAAATCATAATATGACAACATACATCTGATACATTGGACATGACAATATAACATTTTATTAGCTGTGTCTGGGTTCACATTAACTGATTTTTTTAATTTGAATGTAGTATAGTTCAGATTAAATGAAATAGTTTCATATATGTAGCTTCGAGATGGAAATATTTCTACTTGAATCTTACAAAGATGGCTCTAGAATTTGCCCTGGATCAGGTGTCAGAAGCCTGGATTTAAATAATTTAAGTCATCCCACAGATCAGCTCTGTCACTAATTGGCTAAGTATCATTAGCAAAGTCATTTAGCCTGGATAATATTCTTCAGTTTGGCATATTTTATGAGATAAGAAAAGTAATGCATATTACATTTTAATATGTTATTTAATGCCCACAATACCTACCGAGGTTAATAATATTATCTCCATTTTAACGAGGGGAGATGAGGCTCAGAGAGACCATGGCCAAGCAGAAGAGAACCAACACTCATGTCCATGTCTATTTGACTTAAAACTTATGTTTCTAAGTCAGCACTATTTCCCATGTAATGACATACCCGTTTAACCTACAATCATAACGTTTCATTTATGTATATACAGAGCCCATGAGGACATTTTCTTTCTTATTATAATTTGCCTCACTGTAATATTTGGCTCTGAATATCACATTCAATTGTGCCATGCTGGGTCAAGGAAGAATATTATAGCCCTCAAGCTTTTTGCCATACAGTGAAAATATTTCTGACCCTTATATAGCTAATATGATTTTGTACTACTTATCCTGTACAAGGAAATTTGTACTGACCAAAATTTATCTTTGAGAGCACCAACTTGTTTAGCAACTCATTCATAATAGAGCTCATGTCTAATTTCTATGCTTCTCACAATAGTGCTTTCATTTATTTTTCTTCACTAGGAAGATGATTCATAAATGACAAAAGCAATTTCTTAATTTTTTTCAAAGATATTTTACAATTGGGACGCTGTATTGAAAATGAGTAAGACTGATTTTGATTAGGAGCATCGTATTCTTCCTGAGGGCTAACAGCCACTTACATCATCCACTGTCAACAGATCGGGAGAGAAACGACTTTCTTCTAAGTTAAGATCCTTGAACATACTACAAGGATGAATTATTCTTTTCAGGAAGGGTTGTAATATTGAACAAGGCCTTTAAGTTAAGCTTAGTTCTTTTCTACTGGATATTTAGGGAGAGTAGCCTCTCATTTCCTAATCACAAGTTCCAAGATGAGTCAGACTTACTCTGGAAGGCCTTTATCTCCCCATCTTCAGAAAAGAGTTCTTCTAGGTTCTTGTGTCAGCGGAGGAAGGATTTACTGAGTTCTTCTCCAAGAAGAGTAGTGGTAAGAAATTTCTTTCCTCTCTATTCCTCATTCGCTCTTAGTGACTGATGGAGACTGCTACTCATTGGGACATAGCTCACTACCAGACAGGGATGAAGTACCGAAGGAGGTTGTTTATGTCTGGTATGGTCTCTAGCTCTTTTTGATCTGCTCCTGGGGTCAGGAGTAGCAGACTTCATCCTTCTAATTTTCTTACAGTAAACCAACAGGCAGAAGACCTCTACAGAGTGGATAAAAGACACCCTATTTTCCAATTTCCTCAGCTCTATTTAAGGGTTAGGTAATAGCAGTCCACATGACTTCAACTTGAAAAGAATAAAGATTTTCCACTGTGTCCTTAGAGCTACTCGGTTTTCTTCAGTTTCAGTATTGCCACTGACACTCGAATTCCCCTTTGATTTACGTTCTTTTGCTAAATATTTTGTTTATAAAATTAAAAACTAGTGTCTCTCATGATGAGTATGGCCCAAAGGCATGTTTACTTTGGATCTTTGCTTTTTAAAAAATTGAAGTCATCCCACAATTAAAATTCTGGAATTTGGGAACCAGCAGTTAGCGTAATGGCTATGTCGCTGGACTCCCACGTAGTCAACCGCGGTTCGTGTCCCGGACCCAGTGGCTTAAAACTCACGCTGGGTGCATGTGCGTGCGTGCCCAAGATCCCAAGAGGAGAATGGAGGAGAAGGGATTGCGGCGTGACCATCCCCCCTGGGGGGTGATTTCTCGCTTTCTGTCTTTATGTCTCTCTCTGTCTGGCGAGCGCACGTGCCCTACAGTGAAAATCTCTCCAAAAAAAAAAAAAAAAAAAAAATTCTGGAATTTTAGATTCTCTTGAAAAAAAAATGGTGTAAGTTAGCAACACTGGGACTAAATCACTGATGAGAGTCAAGAGGAGCTGAGAAAAGGCTGCCTCTATTTTGGAGGAATATGTGCCTCTCCCCTACCTACATGCCCCATGACCCCTAGTATTTCTCTAACTCGAAAATAAAGTTCCCGGTGCCTTTGATGATTGTGTGGAAATATTTATAGAAAAGAAGTATTTGTCTGTGCCTATATCCCTATAAATACGGGTATTAGATAGAAATCACATGCATTATGCTTGTATCTGGGCTTTTTTCATCTTTTTTCTTGTCTTCTGTTCCTTGTAAGCATTTGAATTTACTAGCACATCTCCGAATCCTAAACGGGAAAAAGTGATTCAAGCTCTAAACTCTGCCACAAGTCCTATACAATACTGAATTTTCTTGCTGTCAGTTCTAAAAATACCAGGAGATGTTTGAATAAACTTCCATCTCATTTCAAATATGTTCTCACTCTGTTTTGGTCATTTCCCAGATCTCTCTTAGTACTCATTAGACAGAAACTAAAGAGACACCTTCACTTTCCTGGTATCTAAACCAAATCCTGATTTCTTGAAATGAGATACTCATCAAATATGAATACAAAAAAAAAATCATTAGAGATAGAAGGAAGAGAGGGAGGTAAAAATCTGTTAGTACAAATGAAATGACATAAAAATATAATTTTATTGATGCTAACAACGTTAGGCGGTTTAGAGAACACTAGTTTACAGTGAGACAGAGAATAATATGTTTGGTTCGTCAACGGAAAAAAAACTGCAGGTTTTCTATTGGCCTTAGTCTTACAGCTTCCTCCAGAATCAACTCCTTACCGTGATGTTCCCTGGACACATATACCCTGCACATGCCATGCCCAAGCACACCTGACTGACTCACAACATCAGGTTTATCAACAATCTAAAGAAAAAAACATTTTGACTTTCCTGATTGACCTTTAAACCATTGGGCAAGACAGAGGATCAGACTTCAGGCAACTTTTACATACTGACCTTCTAGGGCCCAAGAAGAGTGTGCTCTTCTGAGGCCATTAGAGGCAATAATTCTGCATTCAGGTCCTTCGGGTCTTTTGTTTCCTAGAAATAAATAGTTTTTAAAAATCAATAAAGGAGATTTTTTCACAAATGTGATAGTCCATTAGTTGATAAAAATGTCAGCTATTCTCATTTGTTCAAGACATAAAGAAGTTGTTAAAGATAGCAGCCACCACCCACCACACACCGTAATTATAGTATATAAAAGTCATTATTATTGGATAAATCCGTGAAATGGTGAAGAGCGAGGGCTGAGATCTGGGGAGCAGGGGGCTCCAATCGGGTGCCATTTTGTATCCATTGAGTTTCTGACTCTTGGGGAACGGGCTTACAGAGGTGTGTCTCCCACTGGGGCTGGGTATGCATCTCTGCTCGGCTCTTGCTCCTAAGATGACTCTCTCCTTCACAGTAGGTGACACAACAGCGACAGGCTGCAGAGGGCTTCCCTCGATGTTTGGACATTGTGCCTGAGGCTGGAGGGGCACCTGCAGCCCTCTCTGAGCTCTGGAGTTCTGGGGTATCTTTCAAACGACTTCTTCTTCTTTGAACATGGTCCAGACTGATGTCAGACTGGGAAGAGCAGCTCTCGTTCCAGCCAGAACTGGCACTCAGACTTCTCAGGGGAAGGGCCAGCCGTAAAGCTTTCCAGAATTTGGAGCCAGAGTGTTTAGATTTTTCTCCTTTCCAGCTCACAAAAGACACAGACTCTTTCAGCTGCAGGATGCCCGGGTGAGGATGCTCCAGGGGACGGTACTCAACCACAATGAGTTTGGTGGCTATGGAGTTCTGGCACATGACACCGAGTTTAAACTCCAGCATGCTGATACTCTTTTCTGTCACATAGTCTGGGCTCAGTACAACAATCATCCTTCGGCTCCTTTGAATGAAATCAAAAACTGCTTCCACAGTATCTACAGAAAAGTGGAAAGATAAGATAGTATCTAGTGAAAACTTAAATACTTTCCTGTTCGTCATGGTTAGCCTACCAAGGACAGGCAATGAACAAACATTTGCAAATATAGGATCTCAGTATTTTAGAAATCTACCCAGTCAAGGACTCTCACCTACACCACATATACCAACTTTTTTTTTTTTTTTTAAGTTTTGTTATCTTCAAGAATGGAGAGGGAGTTGAGCTCAATATCTCTCCCATACTACAAAATCCCCGTCGCAACAGTTCTCTTCTTGAATAAAGTATTTTGTGATATAAAAAAGGATGAAAAATTAAATTGACCAGTTCTTAAAGCACCTAATTTCAGCTTTTTTTTTTTTTTTTTGAGAGATTTTTGCTATAGGGCACGTGTGCTCGCCAGACAGACAGAGACAGAAAGACAGAAAGCGAGAAATCACCCCCCAGGGGGCACGGCCACACCGCAATCCCTTCTCCTCCATTCTCCTCTAGGGATCTTGGGCACGCACGCACACGCGCCCAGCGTGAGTTTACGCCACCGGGTCCGTGACTTGAACTGCCGTCGACTACATGGGAGTCCAGCGACATAGCCATTACGCTAACTGCTGGTCCCAATTTCAGCTTTATTTGTAACTTATTTCTTGCTTTTAAATATTCCTGCAAATTTCATTTAGGTCTTAGATATGATATCTTCAAATGTTTGAAATATTTAACGATCTCATAGTATCACTGTTTTTTTCTTACCTCTGAATTAAGCAACTTTAGGATTTTTCTATTTCATGCATGGCATAGTTTCAACTAACCTACTCACTTTTACCCTTTTCTTCTGAATAATGTTCAGTTTATACATGTGTCTTCTAAGAGTAGCATTCTGGACAGAACTGAACCTAGCGGTTCTGACATAGTCTGACTGGCAAAGAGCCATAGAAATAACCACCCCCTGAGATCCTCACAGTTATATCCATTGATACTTGACATTTTTAGACAGAGTGTCAGGCAGTTCATTGGCTTTGTAGCCACACAAAATTCTTTTCTTTCTTTCTTTGTGCATGCACATGTGTGTGTGTGTATGAGAGAGAGAATTGTTCTAAAAATCGACTGAACAGGCAAAAACAATAAGAATGTGTAAGGATCAGTCAAGTAGTGAAGACTTCTCATGAAGCATCCATTCTAATAGTGAGGTGGATTTGGGCAGATTCCAGTAGAAAGTTCTTCAAATCAATGTAATGCTTAACTTACTGTGAGATATGGAAGCTTGGACAATGTGATTTCCTGAAGGAAAAGAATTCCAAATGTATAATCTTAGCCACTGACAACTCTGCAAACATGTGCTGGAGGCAGACAGTGAGCTGAATACCTCAGCTTTTGGCACTAGAGATGGAGACAAGCTGAAAATTTGCAGAATTTTGATCATTACAAACTTTTACAGGGAATGAGGGAGCTGTGTTCCTCTTCACCAGACTAGTTCTTTCCAATCAGTGGATTTAACATGAATTTCAAGGGAAATTAGAGATATGTGCTCAACTTTTGAGAACTCTTCACTGGTTTTAACAAGAACACGAAAATATTTTATTATTTTTTGTTTTGATTTTAAAAGTTATTTTCCATTTTCACTTTATCTTCAAAACCTTTGTGTGTGTGAGTGTGTGGCGGTGGTAGTGGTGAGGGGAGCGCTATTTTGGTATTTCTTCTCATTATTCTAACTCAAAATCATATGACACTGCACTTCATGAATCATAAAATATGAAAGCAGGAATTCTACTGTTATTTTTTTTTTCTGACAGATACAAAATAATCCTAAAATAATATGACTAACTTCATCAAAGGAAAGTTGGGCAGTCAAATTGTGTCTGTATAGTGTTTCATTTCAAAATAGTCAGTTTAGGAAAATGTATGTTCTTTCCAATAAGGATCATAGGGTTGAAAATTAGACTGCCCTAGCTCATCTAAAAAAACTATGTTTAGACCCCGTGTTTTGTTTTGTTTTTATTGGTATTCAATCTGAGTGGTGAGGAATTTACATTTGGGAAGAATGCAAAGCTAAATACAGATATGTGTGGTGGAATTCCAGCTATTGACAAAGGGATATAGGAAGGAGATGCATCTCAGATTGGGCATGGTTATACCTAAGAGTAATCATTTTATACTTTTATTTTATACTTTAAAGGAAACTGTCTTTTTAGTGACAAATTTTATTCCTTTATACTTTATATAATGTTAAAGCTGCCTATTTGAAGATGAGAGATAATATTTTTAATAGTAATGATTATTTAGACAGGGAATTACAGATTGCTCATTCTGTTAAGCTCAAAAACCAAGATGTGGCTAAAGTGTAGCAATTAAATCAGTTTTCACATGTAGTACTAAATTGGCTTTGAAGTCATGTGTTCAGATTGAGAACTCTTTAATACTCAAGTATAATTCTGCTTTAAAACTCATAATTCTCCCTGCAGTTTATCTAGAAAAAAACTAGGGTTGTAATTTATTTATTTATTTATTCTTGTGTCTAAGTTACTTGTAGAAGAAAGAATAGCAAGCCTCTCTGTCTCTCTGAAAACTTGAAGTGAAAAAGGAAGCACTTGATCTGGAAGATGAATTTAAACTCAAATCTCTGTTTCTCCATTCATTTCTGTTTATTGCACAGTCTTTGAATCTGAGTTTAATATGTTGACAACAAACCTGTAGAGCTATTAAACAAATTATAGATGCCTATATGTAAATTTCTCTTACATAGTATAGAATAAATGATTATTTTCAATGTCTAGTAAATATAATATTAAAATATATACATACAGGCTAATATTTCTTAAATTTGCATAATATATAATCTCTTATAATATTAATAAAAGGTAAATATATATATTTATAATTAAATTTAGATTTATATATAAATGTATATTTAAATTTAGATGTAATTATTAAATATTTAATATGATATTAAAATATGAAATACATACAGACTAATATTTATTAAATCTGTACCAATTCTTGGTGAAAACCTTAGGACATCACTTAATATGTGGATTTATGGGAGTAATAGGGCTTATAAATTCTGTCCAGTCAGTTTATTTAGATGCAGATAAAAATGGCTACTGAAACATTCACTATCATAGCCCATATAGTGTTAGATAGAAACAGAAAAGTAAGACTAGTTGCTAAATCTGTCTCATCCTTGTGTCAAAGACATAGTGACATCAGTAAGTGGTTGAAGAGAATGTCTTGAGAGTTTTAATGAGTTCTTTAGTAGCCAGGTATATGATGCTCAAAGTGCTGATACTGAATTTTCTAAGCTGTTATGGACTTGGAGGTCACTTATGTTTAATATGTTTAGGGTTGGAAGCAACATCAGACTCATCACCACTGAGCTAATGCAAGACACCCACATGTGAAATCTTAGTAATAATCTATCAAATCTCTCCTTGGGTATCTCTAGGAATGAAGAATCTGTACACCAGAAACAGTGAAGTCTATTATTATTCAATTCTGTTTTATTGTTGTTTTCTAATTGAGTAGCAATCAATTTCCTTGTGAATTAGATTTTTGTTTGTTTGTTTTTGGTCTTTATTTTATAGGAACTCTCTCTTTTCCCTTTCTTCCTCCTCCTCTCTCTCTCTCTGTCTTTCTACCAGACTGACTCTGTATACACAGATACACATACACACACACACACACACACACACACACACACAAAGATGTCCTGGTAATCTAGAATAATCCATTTTTCTTAAGTAACTCTTTTACTTACATGTAAAGGAAATGTTCTAGATATGAAATTCACATTTTTATCATATTCCTCTCAGAAGTTTAACTAATATAATTTATTACATTTCTTTGTATGGGTTCAATCATTAATTATTTTTATTTTCATTTATTATGCCCAAACATGAAAATAAAGACATAAAACACATGCACAAAATAAAATTCAAAGCTGAAAATAAATGGTTTATTTAAAATATAAATGAATTTACAAATCAAATGAAAAATGAAAAATACAAAATTCATGGATAAAATTAAAAACATAATCACAAAATATTAAAACCTATGAAAAGAAAATGGGTCATTAACAAGTGGAGAGATGTTTTTATTTCCCAATACAATGGAGTGCTTTTTTTATTATTAGAATCCTATGGAATCATATAAGCTATAATACAGAGGAGAACTAAATAAATTTTATATCACTGTATAATTAGGCACTCTATATGTTGTGATTCTTTGTTAACCTGGGAACAGAAGGGCTTCGTATTGCATATCTAAATCATTAAGATGTTGCTGTTTTTTTAAATTAGAAACATGGTTTGTTCTTGCTCTCAAAATTACAAGTATGTTTCCCCATCTCCCTCAAATGTTCTATCTGGCCATGTTCTAGAACATAAAAATATCTTGAAACAAAGTTTTCCTGGCACAAGACCTATCACTCAGATTTTACGTGCTTTACACTATAGCATGTGCAAAAGTTCAGTACCAAACATAGACATATACGTAGAAAAAAAGTCAAGGCGCTTCTGGGCACTCGACAGTATATGGGATAAATACGGAATCCAAAAGTGCAAAAAAATTCAAATAAAAATGCAGCATTGGCAAGAGAATGGCCCCTTGGTGATGAGGCTACCCTCTGTTTACCTAAAGCTTATGAAATAATCGATATGCAAAGCTTATTTGGAGTAAGTTCTCCCCTGATCTTGTGAGTAAAGGGTTAACAGGGGAAGTAATTGTGGCAGGTAACAAGAAAATATATTAGTAAAGGTTAAAAAATGTAAATCCATAATGGACTCTATAACATAATGTTATAGTCAAGAATTCAATTTAAAATAATCCATAACTCTTACGTAGAAAAAAATGATTTATTAAGGTCTTAAATACTGATGAAGGACATTTAAATATAGAGATAACTTTAGAATTGCTTTTCAAAATTCCTGCTACTGGGATAGGTCTTTCTTAAATGGTGAATTATTGTATTTCATGAGCTCTCCAGACTCATTTTTATATTTATTATTTCCCTCT